CAATTAGCCCGTGCAGTTGCAGTTACATGTAGCTATGTGTTTATTTATCTGCGAGATTCTATCACAGTCATTTGGTTTCATTAAAAAAATACCTTTACTACTGTGTACATGTTTGTTCTAAATAACAGCATGAAAAATGATGATAGCTAGTGATACATAATTACAATTAAAATTAAACAAAACACGCATAAGTGTAGGAATACCGGTATGTTGCTCCATTATTATGCGCTACACTGTAAGACTACATATGTATGAACTATTAAAATCATGTAAATATCGACATGATTTTTTTTTTTTGGGGGGGGGGGGTGTATTGTTAATAAAATAATCACAAGTCATTCTATTCAGAATATCAATAATTTCTTAGCCAGTATTTGTCTGTAGTTCTATTTTCTGCTCTTTTCGAAAATTAAAATCATGTCTATGAACATGAACAAATTTCAGGTATGAAATGCAATGTCTGCGGTTCAAATAAAACACAAACACAAATATGGGCCCATTTAAAGAATTTGAACATACAATACAGAAATTAACTTATTTTAATCAGCAAGTTGCCATGCTTCAAGTTTTCAGGTGTATGTGTAACCGTTCGGTTTTCCTCAGGTAAGTTTGGTGTTGAGTGGAGCTTACTCGAAGCGGCTGAGAAGCCCCGAGGGAACGACGCTGGCTTGTGTATAGATATCTATATACACAGGATGTTACTTGAGTGTTTTACCTGTATACGTTTTCCTACGACATTGTAAAACGAAGCCGGTTTTTTTTTCATGTCTAGCTCATGAATTGAAATGCATGAAATAAAGCATGTTTTTGTTGCAGACAGAATCCTTTTAAAATTTTTTTCTTTTAAATAAATATTTTCAATAATTCGACAATTTTAATATACTGTGCTTTTCTTAATCAAATGTTATAAAATAAAAAATACAATTTATTTTACCACCAAAATCTGTCGTTGTAATCTGACGACAAAAAGGGAAGTAAATCAAATTACACGTCATATATGCTAAACAAAAGAAGAAAGTGGATCATAATTAATATAAGTCTCTCGGTGAATAACAATTAAACTTGGACAAAATCCACAAATGGTCAATATACTGATAAATCAGCGGCCGCAAGATCTACATGTATCTGTATGGAATTTAACAAATTTTAATCTGATCCGCAAGCAATATCATTAAAATTATATCATGTTTAATTTAGTTTTATTCGACAGACTTTAGAAATCAATATACTGATCAAAACGAGGAAAAACGATCATGCACGTGCCTTAATATTGTGATATTTTTCATCTCTCTCTCTCTCTCTCTCTCTCTCTCTCTCTCTCTCTCTCTCTCTCTCTCTCTCTCTCTCTCTACTAACTGGTACAGGTATAAACAGACACGTAAATAACATAGTAATGGATCATTATTTGATTTAATTAATATCAAATACTTTAGTAATTTGTTTTAGAAGTTTGGGGTTTTTTTTACTGTTATTCTCTTTATACACTCCATTTAAAAAAGCAACAATATATTGACACAAATTTCAAGACTATTATTGCATTTGAAAATGATATCGATGAAATAATAATGAAACATTGAATCAAATGTTGTGTTGAATGGCTAGACAACGATGTGCACATTCAGCGAACGTTTCCCAAGGTACTCTAAGACAGGTGTGAAACCCCCAGGGCATGCCGTTTCCTGCTCTGGCACTGCTAATCCCTATACACAGGAAATGATCGCGGCTAATACTTAATACACAAAGAAACAGAATTTGTCAAAGAAAACGAGAGTATTTCATTTTTTGCATTGAATATTTATTAAAAATTTAAGTGTAATACCCCCCCCCCCCCCCTTTAATTTAATTTCTTCTGTGAAGTTTATCATCATACCTGCACATCCTATCTTATCTATTGAACATGAAAATCGCCAAATACATGTATTAAAATTAAAAAGAAAGACATTGTTTACAAAAGTAATACATGTTAATATGAAGGTGAAGAAGCGATATTTTTTCTTGATCTCTTGTATAAAGTTCACCTGCCCAAAGTTAACTCTCGCCATCGAATGCTTTCCGGTTATTTGACACTTTCAGAAAAATGCCTGCACATTTATATAAAAGAGGGAAATGAATTAAAGAAAAGTTTTCTAAATTTGGGAAAAGAGCATAACACCCATTCTCAATATAAGGGCACAAATGCCTCTCTGATTTTTTAAAAAATGAAGTTCAAGAAAACAATTTTTCTATCAATTACCTTTGAAAGAAAGTATCTGAAGATTTTGTTTCCAGATTTTTTTTCATCAAATTATAATACATGAAATAATGACAAGACGATAAAGCAGAGGGTGATTTTATTCAGAAATGTAGCTTGAAATTAAATGTACGTTACTCTTTCTTCGATGTCCAAAAAGATATGTAAAAAAAAATGTAGTCATTAAAATCACAATTGGAATAGCTCATCTTAACACCAGCACATCCTACCAACTCTGTCAGCAACATATTTTCTCGGCATACGAACGTGCGTTTGATTTTTCCTTTCAAAAAACAATGGTAACTTTTTGATCCAGATGTATAAAAACATTTTTTAAATATATGCTTTAAATTCTTCTCTCTGTTTTGTTTAGAGCGATCATTTTGGAATCTTGTCATTTTCTATAGATACTGGAACCTAACATGTACATGTAGTAAAATTCTATTTTGTAGTTACTGTCTTTTTTAACATATATCCATGCCGATTTAGAAAACTACGTAAATGTAACGTACATTTCAAGATATATTTCTGTTTAATAAAAAGCTTAAAATTCATCTAAAAATTCATCGTTTTGTTTCAGTTTATTAAAAAAAAGATTCTCTATGTAATCACATTGTGTTATATGTCGCAATCACCACTATAAAGACACGATTGCCTTAGAATATGAGTAGGTAACGTACATTTCAAGCTTGTAGTAATATGTAAATTAGAAATAAGAAAATTTTGAAAAAAAGCAATTATTGACATAAAAATCATTTCAATGAAGCGTTTTTGGGCAGTAATATAAGAAATCATAATGTAACAAACGAGGTTATTTGTCATCAACTACATGAATGTCACGTCACTTCGGTAACGTTCATTTCACATATTATTGGAGAGTCCCCTCCACCTCAGTTCTTTACCATTCTTTTGTGCTGTTTCGCTGAAATTGACACCGTTCGTAGCCTAGTTACTTCTACCCGTGTGCAAGGGTACAGACAAAAAAATATAAGAGTCAGACGTATTTTGCTATGATCTAACAAATGCTCGTATTTGGCCATTGAAACTTAACATAAATCTATTCCGAATATATCCATCGACAGTTTGTTAACAATTTCATTTAGTATGTTGCAACATCGTTTTCAAAACACAAACATACGTGCTTTTCAGCAGATCTGGTAAAATATAACCCAAAATGCAATGATTCAAACAAAACTGAGTATTGTGTGCCTTTCAGTATTTGAAATGTACGTGACCGTCTTGTGTTCTGGGTTTAGGCCTATTTGTTTCTTTTTTTTCTATTTTTTGTTTCTTTTTTTACCAATTATAAGCCTATGCATACTTTGTTTTAAATTATCAACAAGAATTAAATTAATATTGACGAAAAGTCGCATATTAAAAGTAAACAAACTGCAAAAAGGTTGCCAAAGATGAATTTAAGACACTTAGAAATAAATTTTCTAGCATGTGGCAACAGTCTAAAACATTTACGAGGATTAGGGGTGCATTTAGATGGATTTATGTGGTCAGTTGTCAAATGGATTGTAACGATAATTTTGTTTCGCTCGTGTAAACGCAATTCATTGACTAAATTAAAAAAAATGTCAGTTAGAAATACGTAAAATGTACGTTACCATACGTAACGTACATTTCAAAAATAAAAATCAATTCTCTTCCACAAGCGTACGTTAGACACGCAATATATTGATAATATTTGAACTTTAATATCATAAGAAATACATCATACAGGTTTCGTATTCAGAAATATATACCAGGTATCAAAATTATATTACATATAATTGACCGTAATATATTTTTTTTCCTCAGCAGAAACGTTTCTTTTCATTAATTTTGGGATTTAGCCGACCTCCAACCTTTGAAACTTTCCTTTGTGTACACATTCGAGTGTGTGAAAGTATGAGAATACATGAAAATTCGTGCGAGATTCACTTAATTCGAATTTCATGGTAACGTACATTTCAGTCACGTACATTTCAAATGATCACTTTTCATGTAAAAAATAATTTTTAATTGTGTTAAGCAAAACGTCTTTGCCAGTTTACAGGATACAATGGGTTGCTTATTCAGAGTCGTCTCATATTTTCTACTTAATATATATTCTTAATGGAAGAATATAGGTAACGTACATTTCTTTCTTATCTCTACGATTGAAAATGTCTTTTATTCCGTAAACATATTTAAAAAAGTTGCTCAAATTGTTCAATTTCATGTTACATTATCTAAGTAGGAGTAATTAATCTATCGAAATTTCAAATTTAGCCCATCAATAAATAAAGGAGAACAAAACTATCAGGTGTATAATCTTTGTGTTTGCTTGTAATGTGGTTGAAATGGAATTAAGCGACAGGGACATTGCACAATAAAAATTATTTATCATCACAAAGAAAATGTATTTATTGTTATAAAAAGAAATATATATGATACAAGGTTTAACTTATCTGAAAATTTTTACTGAAGAATCAAAACTATATATTACACAAAGGGGATTCAGAATAATATTTGCCTCGGCGACAGTAACGTACATTTCAAATAGGCTACTATATTTGAATTTGGAACTCCTTAAATACCCTTTCAGATCGATAATTATATGAATTCTTATTCATTGTTATATGACTATTTATAATGTTGATTTAGAAATTACATCAGTGGTATTGCTTTTAAATGAAAATGAGGCGACATTATTTGAGCCCTTATATTGAGAATGGGTGTAGAGAGAACGTAGAGACTTCATTTATAAAGTACAACAACACAGAACCATGGGAAGCACGGAGTGTCTACAGCTCCCCCTGCACTGGAGACCTGCTGGTGGGGATGTGTTACTGCAATTGTGGTACACTTACAGGCAAGATTGTGCGGTATAACTCTTCACGAGAAAACATCCAGACCATACAGCACAACAACAACACAGGTCAGGGACTGTATATTGATCCTATCTAGATCACAGAGAACTGCAATGGTGATGTTATTGTGTCTGACATAGCCCGTGCTGTAGTGGTGACAGATCGAGATGGTAATTATCGCTTCTCCTACAGAGGTCCTCCATCAGGATCAGTAGTAGTACCACGTGGAATCTGTACTGACGCGCTGTCACACATCCTGCTGTGTGATGATATCACCCACTCAGTACAGATGCTAGACTGTAACGGTCACTACCTGACTGAGATACAGACATGACAACACCGTATATACGATCCACTGGGCCTGAGTTATGATGATGACACACACTTACTGTGGGTAGGGTCACACAACAACACAGTCAACATATACAGAGTGGTAGATACAGACTCTCTGACTGGTAAGTAACATTGTATATAGATCTGTAATTATAAAATTCATAAAAAATGATAACTACGTGTACATTATGTGAGGGAAGCCATTTAAGAATAACTAGATATTGTATATTTGTGTATCCAAATGTTTATTTTCAAATGTTTATTAAGATTAATAAAAAAAAAAACATTCCTTAATTAGTAAACTCAAATATTATCTGTTAAGCATTAAGGTTTTGACTACAAGTATGAAAAAATACAGGAAAAAGAAATTATTAATGTAGCTCTATATTCAATTATTTGTAAATTTTAACTTTTTTGTGATTTCTTTTCATAGAAAACTTTTATATAAAGTACATTTGTGTGACAGAGAACTTTTAATTTATAGAGACGTGCATGATATACTGTCAATAAGTAAATTATTAACCTTTTGGGTTTATGAAATAAAATTGGTGTAGTATGCTATTTTTTTTTTAGAAATAGTGTGTGGATTAATATTTAAAGTCTTTTTTATTATTATAATTACAAATATAAATATTTCAATATACTCAGTTTAAAAAGTTCCACATTAAGAAGAGATGAAATTTCGTCTTGACGTTGACTGTAAGATATATTTACATCCACTGAATATTTTTTTTCCTTTATTTTTTATGAAGACAATTGTCATTATTCCGTGCCTGAACGACACTTAGCAAGCCAATTGAACAGATTTCTTGAACAATGGCTGTTCCATCAGTTAACTATGCAATGATATATTCATCAACAATACAATATTTGACATTTAATTTTACTTTGAATGTCTTTTTTTAAACAGATGTAAATATAAACAATGAAATGTCTTTCTTTGCTTGTTAGTACAGGAATTAAAGTTGCAGCTATTGCAGAAAAAATACTTAAACTAATTTCGCGGGTTATGTATTTTTTTTTGCAACAGCTGCAATATAATTCTTGTACAAATAACCAAAGAAATCTTAAAAAACACCATTGACATTAACGCAGCTTTGTCAAAGAATGTAGTGTATTCTGTAGCAAGTGTGGGGGGAATCTACACGATGTACTGGGTTGACATGTTTGTACATGACAGAGTTAAAAAAAAATTCTAATTTAAGATTGATGCAAACCTTGAGACAAAAATTATTTCTTACTCCAGGAAATCAAGTAAGTCTAAATGTAACTGCATTGACCACATTTAGCGACTGGAAAATCAAAGGGAGATACCGTATTTCAATTCAAATATTCTAAGATCATGAATATTTGGCATATAAAAGAAGAACACTAAAAACCTTTGCATTGAAAAGGTAATTAAATATCAATTATTTACAACGTAAAACTTTGTTCTGTTAACAGGACTTCCCCTGGAGGACATCAAATGCAGAAAGCATCCCAGAATTTCCCTGGAACAGTTCTGTACCCTGTGTGGTGTTCCCTTGTGTGTGGAGTGTACCAGCTCTGAGGATCACAGCAGACATGACCTAAAAAATATAAAGACATTGTTTGACAACATTCACAGGACAAAAGGTAGGTGTTTGAGGCCTCTTTGAAATCAGATATCTCTGGCCAATGGAAGTGACCTTTAGTGACCTGAGTTAAACACCGAAAGGACATTTACTGATCGATGATGATGAAGGCCTTCCATTTAATTGTCTGCCTTGTCGTCTGTAATCAAAGTTCTGGAGGTGTATTCACCTAGTCCATCTGGCTATCAAGCTGTTTATTTGTCTGTCTCTGAAATCATGCAGGCTAAAACTTCATAATGGCAAACAATGTTGGATGCTGGATCTGACCTACATCTTTCAGATGAGCATGTTCATGATCATTGTCAAGAAACTTTAAACTGAACCAAACTTACCTCAGAAGAGATTGTGTAAGTTGGTATTCAAACGTATATTAAAGGTACTGAAACTTACCTTTAAGATGATTTTCCTCTTTTTTGCAACATCACGGAACTATTAATCCGCAAAAAAAGTTCCACCAAAATTATTAGCATACTTTTGAGCAAACAAAACGCTAAATGTTACACCCGCTAAAGAAACCCGCTATACGGGTATAGAAAAATTGATACAATTTAAAGTGAAATTGTCATGCCCCACAACTGAAGAACTTTCAGTACTCTGATTGTTTTCTTTAAGACTGTTTTATTTATTGATATCTGACATTTCTTCTTTATTTTGTAGATGGAGATACACTTTTGATGTCCCTTCTTATTTCCAAATCCTACAAAATAAATAGGAAGGAAGCAAATTGGATGAGCAGATATAATGCTGTTGCCACTAGTTTTCATTCCAAGGAAGTAGCAAAGCAATTTTCTCTTACAGAATTAGAAATATATAAACCAATTTTGAAACTCAATGAATTAGAGATTAGTTTTTCAAATGAGCTCTTCAAAGATATTAGTTTCTTGAAATTTTCAACAGAGCCAAAATTTCTGGATATTTTCTTGACTTGGGCAGAAAAAGAAAGCATTGCTGAATACTGTAGATCGTGGAATTATCAAAGAAGAGAAGACGAAGTTTACTGTTGGTTATTACCAGAAAAAAATGAGGAGTTTTTTAAAAGACTTGGAGAAGATATTTACATGCACCCAACAATGAAGGATCAGTCGTTTCAGGAATTCGTATTGAGAAAATGTAGGTTAACATTCAGCTTATCTTACATAATGATTTAAACGAAAGAATAAGGTTATATAAAGCAATTTTGAGATAAGATATTTGTTAATTTCCAAAATTCATTAAAAATAAGTTATAAAACAAAACAAAGAAGCGAGATGTATAAATGATAATGTGGAGAAACCAACTTTTCTAAGAATTTTCAAAGAACTGTATGCAGTATATTGCATATATTTGCCCCCACAAAAGTCATATTTTGAAAACTTCCTGAAATGTGCTGAATTTAATAAATTGTATGAGAAATATAAATTAACAGAAAATATTATAGTGTCAAAGCAGTGTATTCACAATTTTTGTTTTTATGACGTCACAAACTAGTCCGATTTTATCTCCTTTTTCAGAAAGAGGACAAAATGGGCAAATTTCAACAATTTTAGCTTTAAAATTTATAGAGCGCAAGTTTGTTCAGGAACAATATTGACATATTTCATTGATATTATCATTGTACACATTATATCAAAATATTGATCCTGAACACACATGCGCTCGGTGACTTTTACTCAAAATATCGACGAAATATGTACATTTTTCTGTCAAATTCATAAAAAACTGAAATTTTCGTCATGTTTGTGACGTCATTACGTACATATGGCGTCATTACTTATGAAAATATTCAGTGCTTTGAAGTCAGCATATACTCCCCTGTTTAAGAACTTAATTAAATATATCTCCATCAAAGTTTAATTTGGGGTGAAATATTGGTTATTACCGAATAAAGTTCTTTAAAAACAATCTTTTCTGAGAGTGTCGACACCTTGCATATTTCCATTTTGTAAGAAGTTTGCCTGGATGAATGATTAATAAGATCCTGTAAGGAGGTTGGGGGGTCAACAAATTAACCACAAATTAACGACCAAATTTAACTTTTTTAGATACGGTATCTTAAGCTGTCAACTATCATTTGGCAAAGAAAAAAAAATTACATTTTAGTTTTAAAATTTGATCATTTTTGTGTATTTTTATATGGAGCTCTTCTTTTAAGTAGATCGAAATAGTCTGAAAATGGCTGCCACCCCCAGCCTCGTTAACAGATTTTTTAATCAAATAAATGTATTGAAAAACAGAATTATGATATATTTCATTTTCAATGTGTACATTTACGTAAACATGAATTTGTCTAAGTAATATTTATTATAATACTTGTGTTTTGTCCTAATTAGTCGGCATACCAATGCAGATAATAATGAGGGGAGACAACTCAGTGAAAAATTTTGTTGAGAATCTTAAGAGAGGCAAAACAACCATGTACCATGCCTCTGGGATGATAATAGGGTGTGCTGGTAGTGGGAAAACAACATTGTTAGAGAGACTGAAGGGCATTGATCTGGAAGAAATAAAGAACAATATAAGTTCAACCAGAGGAGTCTATATCCACACGGATGTTTTTGATGTGACTGATAGCATCCAAGGTATTCTTTATCATTATGTTCGTTGATTGTTATAAATTACTATTGTATGATGGGCTTCTAATTTAAGGGGGCCGACTGTGGTTTCCATTGAGCAATATTTCGCGCATCATAGTAAAATGAAGCTTATTAACTGTTTTATAGCTAATTTTTTTTCTTAATTATTACAATTAAACAAAATTAAGAAATGATATGTATAAAAATGTAAGTGCAGCTTTATATTAACAGTTTTTTAACCGATTTTGTAATTGATAGGTAGATTAACGTCGTTACAGTGTATTTTTGACGTTATGATAAACTGAAGCTATTAAAGAAAAGGGTAATAAAAATTTCATTAAGTAAAAGTAATAAACACACACTCTTGAAATTTAAAACATAGAAATTTAAGAATACCTCCATTATTTTTATTGTTTTCATGTGAATCTTTCATGTCCGTCATATTTCGTATTATTCTTTATAAACAGGAAAATTCGTTAATATTTGGCATTTTGAGATGCTTGGTAACAAGAATTTTGTGTTTCTTACATATATTGTATAATTACTCATGAAATATTATAGTTTGAAGAAAAAGTCTATGGTAGTATTTGCATAAGTTTAAAAAAAAACTAAAAATTGGCCTTTCCCTTTATAATCCTATTGTAAAGTACCTGAATTTTGAGGCGGCCCATCAAAAATACCTGGACGGTAGATTTTCCTCAAACTTTGCATGTACACTGAAGTTAATGTAAGTTATTTATGGTATAAAATGAAAAGTTTCGCTGTTGTAGTTTTCACACAATTAAACCCCAGTCGGTCCCCTTAAACAGCAAAATATTTCATATGAGCCATATTAAAGGGGCATGGACACAGTTTCAACTAAACTTTAAAATTTATTTTTCCATTTTTACAAATATCTAACTAGGGTCTTTCTAATGATCATAAAAAATATGAACACCCGTTGTCAAGATACAAGAAAGATTTAGAGCTCCAAACATTTGTTATGTAAACAAGGCTAGTGTCATGTTTTTGTTTACATAGGTTAATATATTAATATATGTTAATTCCAAGTAGATATTTTCAAATAAAAATAAATTTTAAATAAATACGATTAGACAGTTACTATTGATTTGCTGAACTTTATTTTGTTATAAGTATGATATTTTCTATATATGTAAACAAAAACAAGGCAGGAGCCTTGTTTACATTATGAGAAACTTTAAGTTCTGTATATTGTTTGTTAACTAATGATGTTCAAGTTTTTGCTAATCAATAGATGATGCCTTAGGTAGGAAATGTCAACATTGAAAAAAGTAGTTTTGAATCAAAGTACTCAAAAGTACAGAGAGCCGGGCTCATTTACAGAGTAGAATGGATTTCTTACATGAATCACGTTTATATTCTGATGAATAAAAATATTTTAAAACTATCAATATAAATGGTAAGACACTGACAGTGAGTTTTTCAATCCTAATACCACGGTCTGATTTTGTCAGAATCAGAATTAATCTGGTACCGCAGCTGAATGTAAACAAACAGGCCAGTCTGGTTCCCTCTCCTCCTTTACCTCGTATGTGTAGAGAACTACGGTAACACTGATTATCAAAAATCCTTACGCTAATGAACTATGTTCTTTGACTTATGAAGTTTTCAAAGTCATTACAACTAATGTTTATTTTATATAGATAAAACTTCGTTTTATTTTTGTTGCTTTATTTAGCGTTTGTATTATCTCAAAAGCGGTTGAGAGTAAGAACTATATTTTTGCACGTAACTTTAAAATGGCGACTATGGGGTTAACATCCTGCCTTGAACAGGATCACATAAGCCGGCAATTGCTCTTTGAGCAATAAGCCCGGCTAAAAATCAGTTGAAACTGTGTCCAGGCCCCTTTAAGTAGCAAAGCACTTCAATGAAAAGAAATTGAAAATCAGAAATTAAAAATGTTTTTTTTTTTTCAAAATACCGGTATCACATAGATATTGTATAAACAAAGAGGTCATCGGTTGCTGTACAGTTTACAAATAATGCCCTTTTTCTTTCAAGAGGTCGATCCAATGATATATCGACTGAACAGAAAAGCGTCTTGACCGAGTATGAAATGAGAGATTGATATGCTTTTCTGTGATCAGAAGTGGATATATTCATAGATTGACCGCATACAGGGCTACATTTGCTGTATTTTTAAAGACATAAACATAGCAAAAAATGCAAAAAAAAGTTGAGTTTTAATTTATCTCTTTCAATTCTAGTTCAAGCAGGTGACTTATTGGTATCTGTTCTCGTCTGTCGTCGTGCATCTTCAGTCGTCCGTCGTGTATTAACATTTGAATATGTTTAGCTTCTTTTCTCAACAGCAGAACCATTTTTAGCTAATTTTAGCGTAGAACATTTATTGATGAAGGGAATAAAATTTGTCAAATTCAACCAGATTAGCAATACGGTATCTTTAAAAATCTTGTTTACTCTAGACATGAAGGAGTCTGTTGACAGGATTGTCATAAGAATTGAGTCCTCTTAAAGTATTTGAAAACCTTGCCCAAGGGTCAGGGGTTCTGGTGCTACATGTGCATATATAGGACGGGACTTTATAGATCATATAATGAAAATACGTTATTTATTTGAAAATCTTCTCTTCTGCTTCTGTATATTAAACCAATGAACCATTTAAATAGTTATGACTAGGAAGGGTGCATTTTCAAAATTTGTGAATTTCATTGCCCCTGTCCCAGGTGTTCAGAAGTTAGGAGGGGGCTATATTTATTTATATAGCAAAAATGCATAAATTCTTTGAAAATCTAATCCGCTATTCCTGCGTATTCAGCCGATGAAATGTAGATAATAGCTATGATGGGAAAGGGTGTGCAATCTAAAATTATTAATTCCCTAGCCCTTGAGCCAGGAATTCTGATGTTAGGGAGAGTTTTATTCATTATACAGTGAAAATGCATCAATGCTTTAAAATTCTTCTCATCGGCGTTTTGGCACAAAGTCAATGAACTATGTTCGAATTTATGACGTGCATTGGTACTTCTTCCAAAACTGTAAAGTTATGGTCCCTGTATTATTGGTTCTGGTGCTAGGGTGGGATTGTAGGGATTTTATACTAGTGAAAATACATTTTTGTCCCTCTTTTTATGAGTATTTGATAATCAGATCAAGCATGCTACACTGTTAGTGTATATTTATGATGAGTAATTATGCCTCTTAAAAACTGTAAATTGCATGGCCTATCTGCTTAAAACATGAATCAAATTCAATTCTTAGAAAGTTGTTACATGTCACCCAGGTGACCTATAGGTTTGTGGGCCTCTTGTAAAAACTTCTTCTTAGAATGTTCTGGTTTATCCGCCTTTATATACCTAAAACATGATGCCAAACAGACCAATTCATTCTTCCATTTGTCCATTTTTATTATTGCAATTTGCTTTCGTCTGTCGTTGTGCATCGTTCGTCGGCCGTAAACTTTTGAACATCTTTAGCTTCTTCTCTCTGGAACCACTGAATCAATTTCAATCAAATTTGGTAAACAGCATCTATGGGTAAAGGGGGAATTTGTGAATTTCATGGTCCCTGTCCCCTGGGGCCTGAGGGGTGGGACCTTAACAACTAAAAGTAATGCAATATTGCATAATGCGTCACGTTTCATCTTTGTGCTAAAAATAAAGTTGGATTAGTCCCACTTAAATTTCGGAATTTTATTGATGCACATACCTTAGTCTCAATAACAATTGAAAAACTGGCAGAAACGTGCTATCTTCAGAGGATTTATTAGTAAGATACGGACAATATTCCCAACATCCTTCAACTAATAGACAATCTTATATTGACGGTCAACAGTGAAAGCGTCTTTTGCAATTACAATTTAGCAGTTTGTCCGTATGTATTGTACTACCCCGGGACTCCATCAAGAAGCACTTTATAAAGAAAATTCCCATTTCATTTCTATACTAAAGATCTGGTAATTGGGGGGGGGGGGTCTTCTGTATTCATTTAAAGTTTCTTACAGCGTTATTATACCATCTAAATCAAAGCAAACTGCTCTCCGGTGTGCTGTAACGTCATCAAACGTCACACTTTTTTATGCCCCGCCATGCATATGGCCGGGGCATATAGTATTTGTCATGTCCGTCTTCCGTCCTTCCGTCACACTTTGCGTTTAGCTCTGTTCAAAGCTAAGTTTCAAAGAAACTATCCAAGATATTTTCATCAAACTTCATATGCTGATAGATATTGATGAGAGCTATGCAACTGCATCAACATTTTTTGACCTTGACCTTTCCTTTGACATTGACCTCACTTTTCTTAAATTAGTGTTCAGCTCAGTTTTAAACATACCATTCAAGATGGTGTTATCAAACTTCACTTCTTGATACAAACTTGCACGGATGATGCATCTTAGGATGAACACTACCAGACTTGCTTCGGATGCTGGACCTGACATACATTTTCCAGATGAGTGACCAAGTTAAAGTTTTTGGAGCAGGTCCATTCCTTAGGAACTATGAGCCCTATTTGGACCAAACTTGCATGGATGATGCATCTAAGGATGGACACTACCAGACTTGCTTCGGATGGTGGATCTGACCTATATTTTCATTTCCAAGTAACTATAAGCCCTGCCTGAACCAAATTAGCATGGATGATGCATCTAGGGATGGACACTACCTGACTTGCTTCGGATGCTGGATCTGACCTACATTTTTATTCCCTAGTAACTATAAGCCCTTCCTGAACCAAACTGATCAAATTTTATGCACATAAAAATTTTCATGTTGCTTTTACTAAAATTTTAGCGCTTTTGGCGCAAGAGCCCCTGAGCGCTAAAATTTATTGTGCGCTAAAGGATTTCTAAATATTATTTTTTGTGTGTGTTCAAAGCTTATACATAAGTACATGTAAACTGGAATGCGCGATTACATAATGACGAAGGGTCATTGGATTTTATATACACACTAGCACTGCACATGTTCGAAAGACAGAAAGTTCTTACCCGATTATTATCATTATCATTAGCACCTTCAAAGTTTGGCTTCTCGGCGTGTCAATCATCTATCGCCTCGAGGTAAACGATGCAATCAAGCATGGCGATTGAGCTTGCAGACATTACAGTACCTGATTAGGCCAGGTAAAATTAATCTTTAGATTCTCATCCTAATTTGCAAAAAAATTGGGGCGGGTGGGCGGATTTTATTTTTTATTTTTTATAATTGTTAATTTATATATAGGCCTAAGTATCAACAAAACAATGGACGCCCCGTACACATTTTTTTTATTACCTTAATGCAAATATGAATAGATTTAATTCTTTTCATATTCTTGTAAATATTTAAAGAAAATTTTTGCTTTAAAAGTTAAATATTTATTGTTAATTAACAAATTATCAAGTACACATTATACGGCACATCCTGAACAAAATGAGGTGGAGATACCAATAAATTGTGTATGCGTGACTTCTTATTCTGCAAAATCTATATAAATGTTCTAATAATTATTCTACTGAAAAATCTAGGCCTTCTCTTAAGTCTGTCTAAGATGTTGTAGATTTTTTTTTTATTTCAAAGATAAGTCACACAGCTGGAGATCGTTATATATAACTTGACCAGGTGTCATTTTCCTCGTCTATTTTTACTTAGTTACAATCTCTCTACATACTTGCTCCTGCCAGTGATGGTATCTATATGTGTTTATGCTATTTTTTCTTCTCTGCCTTCTCTATACTGACAAATTATCTTTTCCTTACACATTTAAACTGCTTTTATTGCCGATTTTTCTCCATTCTTCACATGGCGTTTTTGCTATAAATGGCGACACGCGACTTTTAATACAGACGGGAGATAACTTTTAAACTTTGACCCAAATTCTTACTGAATAAAAATACATGAAAATACCCAAAAATCAAAATAAAAAACATCGGGGCGGGACATTTTGATAGGGGCGGGCGGGGATGAGAATCTAAAGATTAATTTTATATAGCCTTAGGATTACCGTTTTATCTAAGTAATTTTCTGTCGATGCATGCATTGATTTAAATGAGTAAATACTCCATTTCTTTTAATTGAAAATAGAAATAAAGTAAATTTTAACATTGTGCATCGTCCATGTGATAGCAACACGTACCGTGGTAAACTTAACGAATGTTTACTGATATACGGGAGTACTAATGTGTTTCCGTGCTCGACTAACCAAAAAGTGGATAAAAAAAACAACAAAATATCACATTTATATATTTTACTGACAGGTACAAGCGCTAAAATTAATTTGCGCCAATGCACTCGCACTTGCATTTGCGCTAAAATACGTATGCGCCAAAGAACTTTATTCGGTTATAACCAATATTTGCCCCCCAAATGAAACTTTGATGGAGATATATTTAATTAAGTTCTTAAACAGGGGAGAATATGCTGACTTCAAAGTACTAAATATTTTCATAAGTAATGACGTCATATGCACGTAATGACGTCACAAACATTACGTAAATTTCAGTTTTTCATGAATTCTACAGAAAAATGTACATATTTCGTCGATTTTTTGAGTAAAAGTCACCGAGCGCATGTGTGTTCAGGATCGATATTTTGATATAATGTGTAAAATGATAATATCAATGAAATATGTAAATATTGTTCCTGAACAAACTTGCGCTCTATAAATTCTAAAGCTAAAATTGTTGAAATTTTGTCCATTTTGTCCTCTTTCTGAAAAAGGATATAAATCGGCCTAGTTTGTGACGTCATAAAAACAAAAATTGTGAATTAACTGCTTTGAAACTATAATATGTTCTGTTTATTTATATTTCTCATACAATTTATTGAATTCAGCGCATTTCAGGAAGTTTTCAAAATTTGACTTTTGTGGGGGCAAATATATGCAATATACCGCATATAGTTCTTTTCTCGTTTTACAGTATATCCTCGGCGGGGCATTCATGTCCTACGGACATATTTCTAGTCATGTTTTGTGTTCATCACTTTCCTATTTTGAATGCCCAGGAAACCTTCAAAAATTGGTCAAATGTTTTTAGATTGTAAAAAATACGACAAATTAAATAATGGAAACGAATAAGGATAATTTTTACCCTAAACTTTTATTTTTGAATCTTTTATTTCAAAACAATACTCATGTTTTCTCTGATAAAATCTTCGTTTTTGACCCTGCGCTGTAGGACCTTACCCTGTGCATATTCAAGCATGATAAAATCTTTATTTTTGTCTATATTTTATCCAAAAAATAATAATACACTTAAATATGACAAATAAACAATTACTGAAAATTTCAGCTTAGTGCGTCCATTATTTTTCGAGAAAAGCGCTTTGTCCACGATTTTACCGGACATATAGTTATGATGAGCAAAAGTGCTTCTTCTAAAATTGTGTGGCCTATTGGCTGGGGGTTGTGGTGTTAGGGCGGCCCTATTGATTATACATGTATAGTGAAAATACATTGATTCTTTAAAAATCTGCTCCTTGGTATTAAACCAATGAATTAAATACAATGTACATAGTTATGATGAGGAAGGATGCTCTAATGATTATATAGTGAAAATGCATTAATTCTTGTAAAATCATTTCCATGGCTTCTGGGTATTATGCCTATGATCTTGGTATATATATTTATGATGAAGAAAGGTGCATCTAGCAAAATGGTTAACTTCATGTCACCTGTGTCAGGGGTATCGGGATGGGGGGGGGGGGGTCTGAAAATAAATTAATGCTTTGAAATCTGCTCTTTCATATTAATCAATCATTTGTGATGAAAAACGATTTATGAAGTTTCCAAAATTTTGAAATATGTGGCTCCAGGGTCAGTCCCTTACCAAAATTGTAAATTTCATGGCTTTAGGGTCAGGGGTTCTTAATTATGCTGGGGATGGGCTAAATTGAGAATATAGTGAAAATGCACAATTTCTTTGAAATTCCTCTTTTCTGCTCTTTGGAATAAAATAAACTAACCAAGTACATAGTTAAGTTGAGTTTGATTGATTGATTGATTGATTGTATACTGTTTAACGTCCCTCTCCAGAGTATTTCACTGATATGGAGACGTCACCATTGCCGGTGAAGGGCTGCAAATGTAGGCCTATGCTCGGCACTCAGGGCCATTAAGCAGGGAGGGTTCTTTATCGTGCCACACCTGCTGTGACACGGGGCCTCGGTTTATACGGTCTCATCCGAAGGACCGCCCCATTTAGTCGCCTTTTAAGACAAGCAAGGGGGTACTGAGAACTTATTCTAACCCGAATCCCCACGGGGCTAAGTTGAGTTTGACTGCCTCTTCCAAAATTGAGAATCTCATGGCCCTAGGGTCGGGGGTTCCAGTGCAAGAGCGGGACTATAGAGATTATATAGTGAAAATGCATAAATTCTTCGAAATTCTTCTTCTCTGCTCACGGGCATTAAATAAACTTACCAAGTGCATAGTTATGTTGAATAAGACTGCCTCATTCAAAATTGTGAATTTCATAGCCCCAGTGTCAGGGGTTCTAGTGATATGGCGGGGCTTTAAAGATTATATAATGAAAATGAATTATTTCTTTGATTATCTTCTTTTCTTTTCTTTTCTTGGTATTAAACCAATGAACTATGTACATAGTTATGAGGAGAAAGAATACCTTTTTGAGATTTGTGAATTTCAGGGCCCCTGGACCGGGGCTTCTTGTGTTTCTATAATGAAAATGCATGAATTCTTTGAAAAAATTTTCCTTTGCTCTTGGGTATTATGCCAATGATCTAAGTACATATTCATGATGGAGAAAGCTGCCTTTTTCAAAATAGTTAATTTGGGGGTATTCTTTTATGATAGTTTTTGGAAATCAAAAAATGAAAAGTTTAGAATTGAATTATTTTAATGAGTATTTGTGATTGAATTAAATTTATTTAAGATTTTAAAGAATTTCTTTTGTATTTTATACTTCCCTGAACTTCAGCCAGTCGGCAGCCATACATGTTTATGGTAAAGTCGCTATATATACATGAAAGATATGGAGATAACGAACAGTATACAATCGTAAAGTCCATTAAACAATATACAAAATCAGAGCAGAGCAAATACGGACCTCCGAAACATCAGAGGTGGGATCAGGTGCCATACATGTAATTAATGCAAAGAATTCGTCATCTGGATATGACTTATTATAGATATAGCCATAGATCAAAGCAAATTTAGGTCTATGATAAAGCGAAGTAAATTCCAATGTCCCAGGACTTTACCATAACCGAGTTTTTTCTTGCTCATATGGGAACTATATGTACCATTTTATGAGCTCAGTGCTCACAGTACCTCTTGTTAAATGTCTAATCGTATAAAGCACAGAAATTTAAAGGGAGAAGGAGTTATAAACAGATTGTATTTATTTTTATTTGCAGTTAATTCTTCAAGCCAACAGCAACGCTTTAAACTTAGACTTGAGACAAAAGATCTGAAAAAAGAGGGTTTCGGAGTATCCGGGGAGTACAGTTAATGATGGGGAAACGCAGGGAATGATGGAACCAGTCGATGATGAGGGTAATACGACTGTAGCACCAAACCGTGGAAAGATATCACATGAGGATACCAACGACAAAAAAACCAACTCATCCTATCCATTACAAGGGGCCATATCATCCGAAAATGTGGTGGAAATTTTTAATGAAAGCCAAGATGTTCAACATCGTTCAGAAATCTCTGGAAATTTGCAAATTGAGGCAAAAAAACGTTTCAGATCCAGACAAAAAAATTGACTTTGCGGGACAGTGTGCATATTATGCCTCACACCAGATATTTCTGAGTCCCCGGGCTTTCTTTATTCTGGTGCTGAATATGGAGAAGAAGTTTGATGATAAGGTTGGAGAAGAAGTGTGTTGTCGGGAAGGCTCCGTTTACGGGGAATGGACACACAGAGGTAATATTTTAATTATTTCATGTATGATAAGAAACATTAATCAATAAATCTTTTACACACCGCCACATTAAGTCAAAAACCGAATGTATTGATAAATTTGTTTGATGTGAATTAAAAAGGGAAGTAACCAATATCTTATTTTTCAAGAACGTTTTCGCTGAAAAAGAATTACTTTTCTATTTGTTTGTCCTCCTTTGTAGCTCTATAGGAAAGGAAAGTTATATGTTTGTTTATGAGAAAAAAATAGGCCATACCTAACCTAAAAGAATCATTTGTTGCAATCTATTTAAATGAAAATAAAATAAACTTCCTTCTTTTATTGTCATAGGTGAATGTGTCTTTGTTTTCCAGGTTATCTTGAATTCTGGATGAAGTCCATTCATCAATATGGCAGTGATAAGGCTCCTGTCATACTGATCGGTACACACAGTGAGAAAAAAACAGAGAAGGTACCATATACTTTTGTTTACTTAAAATCATAATATATACATTATGCTATTGTTAGTCAAAATTCACCATTAAATCAATTGTCAGTAAATTATCAGTAATAGTGAAAAACGGGCATTATTATTAGAAAAAAGTGAGGATAATGTAGTACAACTATGGTGAAATTATTTGAAAAAAAAACTTGTTAAAAAAACAGGCAAATGTCCCCTTTTAAAGCTCTCTCTCTCTCTCTCATTTATTTTTTTTAAGTATAAATCAAGAAATTTTGATAATTGGCGGAATCTCTTCAGGTGATTCAAAATTAATTTCCACGAAAGAATAATCAGATAAATCCTTTTTTCATCTTATTACATATTAATTTTACTTGTTGTTTAGAATTGGTTGCATTAGACAGTAAAAATGTTCAGAAATATGTCTGGAAGTAAAAGTTGTAGGTTTTTTTTAGTGTAAAATAGAGCAATGAAGTAACTAATTTGGCCCTCCCTCGTTTTTGAACAATAAATAAGCTAGATCTATTGTTTGAACCATGTTTAAAAACAAGCTTAAGACAGTAAGAAAACATTTCATGATTATAAACATTGTTTTACCGTTACTTCTTTGTACATGTATGCATAAAATACTATAAGGACTTTGTTTTCATTATTTAGATTTATTGTTTGAAAACATATTTTATCTTTGTCATAGATTGTTTATTATAATGATGATTTGCATATGTATATTTAAGCTAGTGTCTCAAGCAAGTGTGTGTAAACAGACACGACGAAAATATTTCATGATTATGAACATTGGTTTACCATCACTTTGCTTGCATAAAATAAGGTAATTTTTTTTGTTGAATAGGAAAAGGAATTGTTTTTCCGTGAAGTATGGAAGACTCTGGACATGAAGAAGAAGTCTTTAAAAAAACATATTGATGTGACGCGGCGATTTGCAGTTGGTTTCCATGACAATGAAAGCATTGAAAAACTCAAGCTGTCCATTGCTGATGTCGTGAGCAGGCTTGATCACTGGGGTGAAGAACTTCCACAGTCATGGGCTATGTTTGAAACATTCTTTCGGGAAAAGAAACTCCACAGAATTTTGAGTAGGGGTGAACTTGAGTTGTTCAACGAAACATTGCCAGAGGGAATAAAGCTCCAAACTACTGAAGATAAGATTTCCATGCTAGAGTTCTTCCATGACATCAGAGAAATTATACACTTCAACCAACAATTCCTCAATGAAAGTATTATTCTCGATGTTCAGTGGTTTGCAGATGCATTTAAAAATGTCATAACAGATAAAAACCATGCAAAAGAAGATTTAATTGAATTTACCTCAGAATGGGACAAATTCAATCAAACTGGAGAGTTAGATGAATCTCTCTTATCTGCTATATGGAGAATGAACAACAATTGTTACATTGAGAATAAAGAAGCCATCTTGCTATATATGGAGAAGTTAGGACTCTTAGCTAAAATGGGGGACAAAAAGTGGTATGTCCCCTGCATGAACAAGATGCAATTTCCAGTAGACTGCTTCTCATCATACTCTGCCTCCTCCATCATCTGCTACACGTTTGATATTCTTCCTGCTGGAATTTTCCATCGTCTTGTAGCAACTTGCATGCAGATTCCTTGGGAGATTTTTACTGATGGAGATAGAGGATGCATTTACCAGACGGCGGCGATTTTTGAGTTTGAAGACCAGCACCATATAATAATGCTTGGAATGACTCAAACAGATATTCAGTTGCAAGTGTTTGTTTTGGTAGGAGAAGTTGATGTTACAGTGTGTCACCAGATTAGAGAAAGAATTGAGAGTTTTTTGCAAAATCTGTCCAACACATTCGAGAATAACACCAAATTTCATGTTGCTTTCAAATGCAAACCTGTAGGATTTTGTGACAGCAAAGGCAGTGCTGTCGTAGATGAATCTAAGTTTACAATAGCGACTTTTAATTGTCCTTCCTGTCCAGCAGTGGAAAAGCATGTGATAAACTCTAGCGCTATAATAAGATATTGGAAACAGGTAATGCTTCTAAATTGAACAAAATACTACATCAAAAAATTAACATAAACTTGTCAACTGCAAATAAATTTACCGTTTTTTATTTAATGATTTATATAATATTGATATTTTTTTTTAGATCATCAGAATATTCAATTTCATTTATCCATCAAATGCTGTGCCATTCAAATGCTGTGATACTTTGACAGATATTGTTCTTAGTGGTTTCTTTTCCCTTCCAAGATCACAACTGGTTTTAACTAAATCAGGTGGAATCTTATTTCAGATACAACAGACTAATTCCAGCTCTTTGACGGCTTCTGCACAAAACCTTGGGGACCGATCTAGATATGCGAAACTTGGAATGGCAACAAATGACGTGTTAAATCAAGCATACAGAGACATACTAGAGATTGAGGTCCCCCCTTCCCTTATATATAACAGAGTGAAAGGAACACCAAATTTGCACAAAAGATTGCGTCCGGAACAAGAACAACTCTTGATAGATGCCAATCATTCGGGATATAAGGATTTTGATATTTCGTTAACATACTCATTGATCAGAAACATTTGTAAAAAGATTCCTTTACCAACCAAAGGAAAATGGGGAGACGAGCCTGCAGCAGGAGAGGAAACAGTTGGTGATGATATCGAGAGAATTAGGTCAATCCGAAACGGTTTGACTGCTCACGTGAGCTCAGCCTCCACCTCTCAGGCAGAATTCGATGACACCTGGTCTATGATGTCAGATATCTGCCAAAGATTGGAAACCTTCACAGGAAAGAAGTACTTGGACAACCTGAATGAGATAAAGAAACTGACCTTAAGAAAGGAAACTGAAGATGCTGTAATAGAAAAGATCAAAATGGAAGATCAGCATGAAATGGTGAAAGAAATATGGTCAGATATGAAAGTGATGAAAGCAGCAGTAGAGAGGCTTGAAATGAAGCATGCGTCGAATTAAGAGTGTATGTCTTAAAACGTGCCATGAATCCTTGAAGAATAAATTGCCTATAACTTTAAATAGATATATCAATTAAAAATGAATGATTTATTTTCTTTTCAAATTAAGATAAATAGATATTAAATTTTCAGTAAACTTGCGTTGTTTCAACGTTTGACAGCACACGTGACCTCTGTTTTCACTCCTCAGCAAAAATTCAGAAATATATGTCTCACCAGAGACATAAAAAATGTGGTTTTATATGTTTGTGGTCTCAGAAATTCAAAATTTGACATTGAAAGAGGAAGATGTTATTAATTTTGAGATATTGCGTTCTCTGGTTTCAGATGTGCAAAAAATCAAAAGCACATTGAAGATTTAAAGTTAGCGGGATATGAATAAGGATGAGTTTTGTGACATGTAGGGTGAAATATTTGAAATATCACATTGCAGAATTTGGAAAGACGTTCTTGATTAACCTTCAGCTTGCTGATATAAAATAAAATTACTTTTGAAAGAAATCTGAAATTAAAAGGATTATTAAATGGATAGTCAGCATGAAATGGTGAAGAAAATGCTCTCAGATGTCCCAAAAATGCAAACAGCAGTATCGACGCTTGAAAGCAAAGAGACTCAAAATTAGGAGCATTACTCATTGGATGTATGGAGTAATTAAATAACTACATGAACTTTTTATAACATTTAACTAATCTGACTCATAATCAAATAGCAATGATTTTGTATGTATGATTTGATATAGAAAAAACAAAGTGATGAAACAAGGCTATTAACATTCTTATTCAAAGTCATCATTTCGAAAGTTCTAAGGTCAACACAATCATCTTGTTAACAAATAGAGTCTGTCAATATATCGAATGCTTGAGGTGACACTTTTAATAATGATTTAGGGTTATTATTTAAACATTAAATTGTCTATGGTTTTTTCCGTTTTTCTGAACATTACAGTGAGTACAAAATGGGTATCATTCTTCGACGGGAGATTTTTACTCCTCTGTGGCACCAGATCTCATCTCTGATAATTTGGAGGTTCCGTATTTTCTTTGCTACCGATTGTCAATGAACTCCGGAGTTTCATCACTGTTCATTATCACCATATTTCATAAGAGCTGGGATTTGTCAAAAAAAGTTGATCTAAGCTCCAGAATACTTGTACTTTATAAATTAGTCCCCTGGTGGTTTCCTCTGAGCGTGTTCGT